ACAAGATTTGAAACTAATCAAGCTTCCTTTTGCTCAAGAGTACTTATTGTTCCTTCTCTCTCTAATCCTATCCAACAACCATAAGTAATTTCCACTTAATTTACTATACTCATATTCAGAATACCGACTGTTTTATGAAGAGAAGCTGGGTTTCGAAGAATCCCTTAATAGATTGATACTAGCATACCTTTCATTTCGTTTGAGAAGACGGGTAGAAGGGATTAGTAGATTGGCCTCACCAGATACTGCAGGAGTATTGCCTTGGACTTTTGCCTGTTGAATTGTGCGAAGAAGACTCCGGCTCACCGTCTTACGACCCCGATGACTCCGTGTCGAGCTTTCGTCCGTCCTGTAACGGACATCGTCAGAGCCAGAAACCATTATTTACGAAAAATCCCTAAACCGAGAAAAGTGTCCAGCTGAAATCCTACCTGTTTCTTATACCTCGCTTTGCGATATTAATGAGGCATTCCCAGCTGACCATCTTTTTTGGTTTAGTGTCTTAGTGAGTTTTTTCGTGATCAATGGTTTCTGGCTCTAACGATGTCCGTCACAGGAGGGATGAAAATTCAGCACGGAGTGATCGGGGTTGTAAGACGGTGAGTCAACGTCTTCTTCGCACAATTCAACAGGCAAAAGACCAAGGCAACCCTCCTGCGGTATCCGGTTCGGCCAATCTACTAATCTCTTCGACTCGACTCCTCAAACGAAATGAAAGGTACGCCAGTACTGGCTGCTTTGTTTAATTCTATGGATTCCCTAATTCTCCTCTTGATGGTATAGCCTCATTATCCAGCTAAAAATGTCATGAGTTCGGCCAATTCCGATTTTTGGACCCACAGACATTTGAAGGCTGCTGTGTGTTCAGCTTATCTACTATGTACGAGACTGCAGGTCTCTCCCACATAGGCACTACCGCATCAAGACACATTTTTTAACAGTCCGTTCTGGAGAAAGGATCAGAATATTCTATAAAGGAAAGCATTATATTGGAGTGTTAGCTTCACATTATAGATAGCCTTCATGTGTCAGTTACCCAGTAATTCACCTAACGTTTTCAAAGCTGATAGGATGTCAGCATAAGAAACCTAGTAGATTTGTGAAGCCTTCTATCTATCCGCAAATATGAGTTTCCCTCCTATTTAACAATATTGCAAAACGGTTCTGGGTCATGTAGAAAAACTGGGTTTCGAAGAACCCCGTGATAGATTGATGTTAGAGTACCTTTCATTTCGTTTGAAGAGGCAAATATAAGGGATTCGTAAGTTGGTCTCACCGGAACCTTTATGGGGATTGCGTTGGAGCTGTGATTGTATTTTGTACCAATAAGTCATTGGCGCACCGCCCTGCGACCCTGATTAATCCTTGCCTAACTTTTGTCCGTCATGTGACGAACATCGTCAGATCAGGACATCAGGCTTAACGATAATTCACCAAAAACACGAAGGCAAGAACACAAAATAGATTGCAAAGGTCTGTGGGCTCAAAAATCAGAATTGGCCGAACAAACGGCTTGCAACAATTGCGACGCACGGTTTTGCTGGTCTAATGCCAAACGCTTAGCTGGATATGGGGACTATACCAGTAAGCGAAAAATTAGAGGCGATAGAAATAAATAAAACAGCTAACACATTGAATAGAAGGAAAGCGTGTACGAAGTTAAGTAGAAACCACTCGTGACTGTTGGATAGGATTAGAGGGGAGTGGGGGACGAGAATTACCACTGAGAAAGAGGAGGCCTAATTAGACTTAAATCTGATTTTGACCCTCACATCACACTCATTTCAAGCGCAGTGCATTCACATAACACACATGCAAGGGAATGCAATCGCATGCGGCAACATTGCAGGATCAAAGGCATATGTGTTTTACGGGAGGATTGCAACTGTTCGGTAACAAATGCACTCGTTTCACGCTCCATCTGCAGCCACTGCACATGTCATCCACACCAACTTAAATTAACTTTAGAGCAAACATCTAGGCAAAGCATATGCTATCCAACCAAAACGTGAGATTCCTAAGTGAACAAAATTGAACTATAAGTAGGTAGGCTTGGAGCCGGTAACCTTTCTTGCCTTCGTGTCTTGGTGAATTAACGTTAAGCCTGGTGTCCTGCTCTGACGATGTCCGTTAAATGACGGACAAAAGCCCAGCAAGGATTCATCGGGGTTGTAGGGCGGCGCGCCGAGGACCAATTCGCACTAATCTGAAATCACAACTCCAAGGCAATCCCTCTGCAGCTTCCGTTGGAACCAATTCACGAATCCCCTCCACTCGTCTCCTCAAACAAAATAAAAGGTATTCCAACAGCAATTCTTAGTTAGTTCTAGTGTAAAATTATTCTCAAACAGAATTCCTCTGAGTCGTTTCAGTTCCTTATCTTGATTATTAAAATCTGCAAGACGCTGGTCTCTTACTATCATATAATTCATAATTCTACTAGACATAAATACCAAAATGTAGTATCCCCTGTTTTGGTAGCAGTTTCCTTTCAATGTTTAGAAGTGGTTTAACTTGACCGTATTGTGAAGGGGACCTAGTTGGACGCATCTTGTTCGAAGTTACTTATTAGGGTAGTCATGAGAATTCCCGGCCTTGGACAGTGGAGTTAGCATATTACCAGACGTTGTGCAGTCGGAATCTTAAATTGAGTCTTACCATCCTTAGCGCCAGGCAAAAACATCAGAGATAAATAAAGTGGGTCTCTTGACCAACTTTATGCCGAACAGTTGTGACAGTGAGAAGTAGCACAACCGCTTGGCAGCATATTGGTTAAAGGATTGATTTCGCCTGTCACTTTGATGAGTTATAGCCTGGTGTTATGAATGACAAGACTCGGTAACGATGCAAGCAAAACCTTCAGGAATATATGAAATCTACGGACCAGCGCTGATAATTATAACAACTACTATAGCAAAGTACTCTGAACAAGGTGCGTTGAACTAGGTTCCTCTGACAACATGACTAAGTTGTCAAAACCATGTCAGACTACTTCTATTCATAACTCATAATTTAAACCCACAAGTGTGGTTGTAAAAAAGGGAAACTGAATGTATGGGTTTTATATGCATATATTTATCTAATCTGGCTGCCTCTTTGCTAACACCAGGGCATCTAGAACAGAATATTTACCTTCCTTTTCTAACTGCATAGTGAATTTCGTCTTTCCGTCTATTCTGT